CCTCCCCTTTCAGTTCTCCCACTGAAAACGCTGCTATTCTTCTTCTTCCTCACATATGTACTGCTATGGCAACCCATATACACCCCTGTCCTTTTTCCTGGAAAACACATCTCCCTCCCACACATCTCCTCAAGAATTATCCCCTGCCTAAGTCTAGTTTATGTGGAAGTGAAGATGTGAGCAGCCTGGGAACCTATACAGCCCTCTATCACGCCATGGACAAAGGGCTGCATAGATAGTATTTTGCTCTGAAGTGGCGGAGGACTCAGCACTGGCTTGGCTTTTAACATTAGACACTGCAGTGCAAGTTCATCCAGCTCAGCACTTCCTGCAGAGTTGTATTTGAGTTGGCTAAGCAGCAGAAATTCACCTCTGCGCTTACGGCTCAGCCACTTAGAGAGAAAAATGCAGCCAAAACCGGCTTTGTCCTTTAGGGTAGAAAAAAGGAATTTCTTATGTGTTCTTGCTGAAAAATAACTAATGGAACTCTTATCTCCACTGCGTGTTCAAATGTCATTTTTACTTCCAGAGATTGTGTCATTTTGGTGGTGGATCTGGAAACACCACATTGGATATATTTGCAAAAGTAAAACATTTTGTTTTTTCAACTCTATGAAACAACCATAGTAACATATTGAGGCTTGCCCACAACATTGACTCTGATCCCGACTGTGTCCTGAACAGCGAATATGAACTGTTACAATCAAATCAGTCCCACCATTTAATAATGTTAGAATGAAGCTCTCTCTTGGGCACCAGCCAATCCTAAAATGAAATACAGAGTCTAATCCAAGATCAATTGTATATTAAAGGGTCTTGAACCTATTGTCTCCAGTGATTGTAAGGTTTTGTTAAATGTCTGTTTCCTTGTTTCTTGTCTCACATACTGGTCCTTGTTGTTGCAAATGTAGCTGCTGTGATGCAAACCAATTTAGAATGGATATGACAATTAAATAATATGATTCTGTATTATTGGTTGGCAGACATTCTGCTTGAAAAAGATGAATAAGTATAATCAGGTTGCAATGGCCAGGGCTTATCACACAACTCAGACCAACACACTGAAAAAAGTCAAGAACACAATGACCTGATTTCATCTGTCAACGGCATCCTAGTTAGCACTGCTGTCTGTGGATACTGTCTGTTACTATGAGAGAGAACATTTCCAGGCAGGTGCCAAAATAGCTTCCATGTGTGAATACGGATGTACATGCATAATATATGCTGTATGTCTCTGTATCTAATTTGCTTAATGTAGTGAAACCTGATATAGACATGGCGATGAATCATACTCTCCTTGCGTGCTTTTTCCATTAGAAAGGGACAGGAATAGTTTTTTTGTGCGTTTCATAGTTAACATTGATGTCATGAAATTCATGCTAGAACGTGTCCATACAAGGTCCACTGTAGTTTACTCCACATGGATCCATGCAACCTGACAGATGGTTGACTGAGCTAAGCTGTAGTGGTGCTATGCCACTGCCAGTTTCATTACAGGGGTTCACTTGGACATGGGACAAGTGTGGATGTGTCTGTCGCGCCCACGGAAGCCAGTGATAACGAAGAAATTCAGACACAATTTGACAAATGAAAACAGAACACATAATCAGAGGCTATAATGTACGTCACATTGACGTGCATTGAGGAGAGTGTGGTAAAAATATTTGGAAATGACTTCAGAAGCACTTATTGTTGCTGCTTAGTGTTTGCTAAGATGTAAGAAAGGCACAGAGCGGCTATCAAAAGGAAATGGTGAAAGGAGAAACCTATTAGTCAAAACAAAGAGTAAAGATAGTGCAGTATCTATTCAATGGAAAACATGACTCATGTTTGAGATTGCAGGAAACAAAGCTTGATAAAAAGTAAGAGAAATGGTCATTATTCAGGAATCAAACCTGCGACGAAGAATACGAAAAGAATAGTGACTTAGCCGAAGGAACTGCAACTGCATTTTCTTTTTTTATGTATACGTGGCTATATTGTACTGTTGTTTTTCTGTGTGAGTTCACTGCTCCTACTAGACTCCTAGTAGGCCTACTGGTTAAATGCAGAGGACAAATGTCACTGTGTGTGCTGTGTGCTCTGCAAGTGTGACCATTAAAGAGGGTTTCATCCCTCCAATTCTATCTTCTATCTATTCTATGCGCAACTGTTTATTCGACACGTTAATGATTAAAAACAATATCAACAAAATTATAAAAATAGTTGTCTACCAATTGAAGGGTTGGTGGTTCAATCCCCAGCCCCTGCGTTCCATATGTTGAAGTGTCCTAAGAAAAGATACTCAACCCTTAATTGCGTCAGCTTATTGAAATATAATGTGAGTGGAGAAAAAACTAAACAAAGACACGGAGCATAACATGGCATTACATGTGGGTGAGGTTGGAAAATACTCATATTATGTCTCAACAGGAACATTTAGTCTACATATGATCTTGATAAAGGGAAGGAAAGGAAACACTGAGAGAAAAGCGTGTGCTGGCGGTCGGCCAGGTGTGGAGATACTCAGGAAGTTGAGCCGGAATTCCAACAATGCAGGCAGTCGACTCTTCACTGAGACGCTGCCATTTCTGCCCTCAATGCCGTCTTTGTTGTGGCGGGGAGGAGAAGGAGGAGGCAGTTAGGTGAAGTCTTTTGGATGTGAATACATTCTGCCCTTTTCATTGCAAACCTTGACTGATTTGTGAATGATAGGAAAATAATGACACAGTTAACCAGATAAAAAACACTCCTCTCTCGCTTTCTGTTTCTCCCTCTGTCTTAGACTATCTACAGAGAAAGATAATTTCTTCCAGGGCGGTTTTATTCATGCCATGTCGTGACTATAATAAATGCCAGTGATGGCAGGATGAATTATGTCTAAGCTAAAAATGATCCAAGGAAGAACTTGACACTTAATTATACCATTGTTATAAATAGCAAGACATGCTAAATAATATCCACCGCCTTCATCTAAAAATCACATTATAAATGTACAACATACAGTATGATTTTAATTTTTATGATTTTATGTTTCCTATTAAATTGTGCTTGAATCTAATTAACGCGCCATAATCACTACCCCTGAAGAAAATAAAGAACTAAGGAAGGCAGTGTGTAATAATGTGCTTAAGCATCCACTGTTTCAGAAGATTGCAACAGCGAAAGAGTGTTTGGATTTGTAATCAAAACTAATCATTCACAAAGGAGAGCTCCATTAATCTGGTAGACCGCGGATGGCAGCTCTTCTTTGAAGAGTGCTGTTTTGATGAGGATTTCCCCTCCAGCCTCCTCTCTGTAGGATTCTCTGTTGCTTTTATTTCAGAGATGTAATGACTGTCTTCAGTACATCTATCATCTCACAGGCTTTAACATCTCCGAAGTCTGCTTCGCTAATAATGCAGTCACTCCCAATGGCACCTTTAATGTGGGCTCTGGATCTACAAAAAAATCCTCTCAAGCTCTTTTTGAATAATAATACTTCAGGTGTTTCCTACCCTGATCTGAAATCCAGATTTATTTTGCAATCAAAAGTGTTCCTTTTATGTAGATATCATGTATTTTACTATCTCAAGAGAGTTCACCTGGCCATTTGGGCTTTGTTTGATGCTCCATTGGGGATCTGGCTGCAGATGAAACACAGCTGTTGACATCAAACCCGGCAAGTGAGAAACATTTGTGCTTTATCAGTGAGCTGACAAATTGGGCGTTGCGGAGATGGGGGATAGATTATCCCGACATGCGCCTGGGTCCAGAAAGCCCAGCTGAAATAAACATCTCTATTTCCTGCTCTGTGACGGCTGGATGAAGAGATGGTGGTTATACTGATGGTTAGAGGGGGTCTCCCAAACCACAGAGCAGAAAGAAAAACACGGGGAAGAAAAACAATCCCATCTGACATCATAGGAAAGGCTGCTGCGGAAATGTATGTCAAGATATAGCTTGAAGTGCATGTGCCAGATAGTTATATGGTACATTTTTTTTACGCCTTTTCCAGATGTGACATACAAAATCAAAAGCATATACCATTCAATAAAGTTTAAATAATTATCATAGCCTGCCAAACCAGGATAGGAGCATCTTTCTTTTTTCAAGCCCCACTGACTGACTTTTAGACTAAATATTTTCCGTGACTGAAATAGCTGCAGTAGGCTATGGGTGGCGGTTTTAGAAACCAACGAGAGGTTTCAGACCATTTAGAGGGCAGCAGCTTCAGCAAAGTCATCAACTATGTACACAGCATGGGATGTTGTGATCTCCCAAATACTATCCTTCAATGTTAAGTCACTGTATTCACAGCTTGTACTTCACCACGGGCATCAAGCAGCACATATGTTGACTTCCTGGAGTGTAAACGCTTCAACTGACCCCTGTTGGAAGTTCAGACTGGACCAGGGAGGGAGAAACATTAATAATGTCCTCATAGTAATGTGATAGCTGGACAATAAAACAATACGTTTAAGCAGCAAGGATGTATTGATCCTATTGAACTACTACATAAATGGATGGATGGATAGATAGATATAAATAGATAGATAGATAGATAGATATAGATAGACAGACAGACAGACAGACAGACAGACAGACAGACAGACAGACTAAAAGACAGACATATAGATAGATAAATATATTTATGTGTCTAAATCAGCAATTGGAACATGTATGATTTTTACAGTATCATATCATACACATACACTTAAGGAAAAGTATATAGGAAATAATTAACATATCAATTATGAAGTAGACTAAACGCTTCCGAATACATGCACATGTAGGCTACTGTGCTGAAATGCATGGAGACCTGCTAAAATATTTGTAGAAAGCAGTGGAAGCCCAATAAACACTGCGTGTGTGTGTAGTGCATTATGATGATCGCTGACTTTAATACTACACTGCTGTATCTCTGAATTTGTTGTGGGCATCGAGAAAGTGCAGTGCTTGAGTAAAGAGGAGGGGCGAGAGAGCATGCGGACCTATGGAGAGAGAGAGAGGCGGTTCAGCCCCGCTGTGGTGTCAGCAGCAGCGGCTTAGAGGCTAGTGCTACACCACTGTGTTGTGCAGGAACAGTCAGGCACGGCATAGCTGAAAACCGCCAGCGGAACAAATGAAAACGAAAACTACACTCTTTCGTGTGGATTAATTCAGGGGCGAGACACCCAATCGAAGCGAGGACCTCTTAGGGGGAATTTGGACCGACTGAGGAAGGATTGGGACATTAGCTACTGTGCGATAACACCGCCGAATGGTTTCTCCTGCCCCGCCGCTAAGGTTAGTTAGCTTCCATTGCTGGCTGTCCGTTGGTTTTGGGAGGGAGGGGGTGTCTGTGTGTTCTGTTGTTGGACGACGGGGTACGGCTATTCTTTGGATGAGAAACATACATAGCAGTATTTACCTTTTCCTGGCTATCCGTTACCTTAAAGCTTAACGTAACGTCGAACCTTGTATTGTAAATGTAGTCATTTTTCCAGGAACAGTTTATCCAGCTGGCTACTCACCACACCACAGTGCTCATAGTTTGCTGGCTATTGTCAGTTAGTTGATTATTTTATATAAATCATGAACACGTGCTACATGGCTAGGCTAAGTTAGCTAATAGCTAACGATGTTAGCTGTATAAGCTAGCTGTCACAACAGCCGAATAGCTAACGGCATTTTCATTTCAACTGAATAAGCTTCGTGACTGTGTATAACATTAAGCACACTTCCCAGCGCACAACACTACCAATGTTCTCGTGATACGTTATGTCAATTGCCTACTAAGTGTCAATAATTTAAAGTTTTTGTTATACTGTGGCATCAGGCTAACTGAGCTAGCATGCTAACTTGTCACGCTAACAGAAGCGCCCAGTTTGTAAACATTGGTTTTACATGAAGTTGACTTAGTGCGCTCTACTGATAGCTTATCTAACGTTAGCCTGGTAACGCTTTGCTTTGTTGTCTGATGGGTGATAAGCTATGATTTCATGTCACTGACACACGTTAAAAAGGGCGTTAGGTAGGTTAGCGTTAATGATTGGTTTGTTTTGTGACAGTAAGGTTTTGCTGGCTTTGAGTTGAATCTTTTTTTCTACCAATATGATTTCTAATTTTTTTTTGATCCGGCTTCTGTAAATATCCACACATTTTAGCTAATGATAGTTATCCACCTGTAAACAAGTGTTGTTGTAAGAGGCAGTCTGATTTTATAACTGAGCATAATGTGGTCATACTTCTAAGAACAGTCACGTTGTTGACATCTTTCATAGAAAAACCAAACCCTCTTGTGAAATGCAAAGGTACCTCCCCCTGAGTGAGGTGATCATTAACATAAACAGAGTTAACATGTGTGTTGTTGTGGAAACAAGCGGATGTCTGTTTTTGTCAACTGCCCAATCATTTCCACCACCTCCAATCAGATATGCATTTAACTTGTTAGCTGTCAGTTTGAGAACATTTATTTTCTCTATTATAGCTCTAGGTGGCTGCATATAAATTGGGACACAGCCAAATGTGGATTTAGTAAACAAAGACTTGATTTGTATGTACCTACATTACAAATTACACCAACATTCATATTAGGAAAACACGATATTCATACATTGTAGCCACATTCGTACATTGAGCCATAACCCTTCACTCATTTTTTTGTGGGAAATAACACTGTTCTATAATAGTTACAATAGACACAACACTATGGAGTTTTATATGTATAGTGCCCAGCTTTGACATGGTGTAGTTTGATCTGTGCCTTGTTGTCTAGTTCTTCAAAGCTTATTTTTGTTAAAGACTTTTAAGCGGTGAAGATGGTTTTAATGTCAGACTAGGACATATCATACCGTCTTCAAATCCGAAAGACATTAAACATTTTCTGATGTTAGGGGACGTGGTCTTTGTTTCAGGAGAAGCAGTCCACGTCTGATGTATAATATAAAACTGAGAAACCTTGAAACCATGACTGCTTTATGTCGCTGCAACACAATACTCTAGCCAACTAGTATAAGGTTTTTATTGTGAGGCAGTTAAACATTCCTGAAGCCTTAGTCAATAACATTATAATGGAGAATCCAAGCAACTTGTCATATGTACACAGAACACCATGACATTTAGACCGTGCATTTAAGCCATTCTAGTATCACATAGAGTAGGCATATACCAACCAAGTTCCCTTTACCTTGTGGACATTTGGTATAAGGGGTGCGCATTAAGTACAAATGATTTGTACTTCTGGTAGTTTACATCAACGACAACCTAAGTTTAGCATAGGCTTTGTGCTAATTTAATCTTTGTTTAGTGAAAGAGTTCATGGGAATTAAACCTATAATAACTACTGTTTTGCCACTAAGAGGCAGCAGACCTTTTAAGGTGGTATGGCGAACCTGGTTACACCTAGTAGTAATGGTGCAACATTAGCAATCCTTTGAAATCGCGTTTCTGGAAAACTAGAGGCTGTCTGTCAAATATTCAATATGTTGGCTGTGTTCCTGGTCTCTACAGGAACACCACCCTGGAGAGAAATATTTGACTGTTGAGCTGCTAAATGCTCGAATGCTTGTTTACTAGCTAGTTTTCACAGCTTTTTCTTGCCTGCTGCCTCTGAAATCAGTTGGACGGCTAAACAATTAGCTAAAAATAGCAAAGAAAATGTTAAAGTTGCAGGTTCTGGTGATAACTCTGTCGATTCATCATTGTTATTATAAACATGGGGATTACAGCTCATATATTTCTGATGTAAACACGGAGAAGGAAAAGTGGAAGCTCTGGGCTCCACAAAACTGGTAATGTTAGCTGTTCACATTAGAAACCACCTCATCACTAACTACACTGAGGAAAAGGGACAGTTATCAATTTGATGGGTGTTTTGGTATTTACCCTTCTGTTTACATCTTTATCCAAACATTGATTTGAGATATTACCCTTACATTTGTGCTGATGCTGTTTCTTTTTTATATGTATTTGTGTAGGTTGAGTACAAACCTGACGAGAGCCTTTATTTCATTTTGTAAGTGTGTACTTATTGGGGTGATGTTAAATATGAAGTTTATTTCTTAAAGGCCAGGCTTCTGAAATGCACAAGTATGTACTGCTGTCTTAGCAGAGACTGCATAGAAAATGTTTGCCTTAATGGGTGAACAAAGATGAAAATCTGACCAAAGAAAGACTGATGAAGAATCGGACAAATCATTTGTGTTTGGGTACTTGACAGACTGGTTAATTTGTTGTATAGTTTGTAGTAAAGTATAAAGTAAAGTACATTAAAGTATTCAGGTATTATGTCATGATGCCTTGGGACGGTGTGGGTATATGGTGTGTAGCTTAGAGAGCGTAAAAGTCTGACAAAAATGTATAATGGTGTGACATTGCTGACTTTAGTTTTGTGTCAGTTTAGCAGTTTGGATTGTTAACATTTAAACCCTAGTGAGGAGATATATCTCCCTTATCCAAAGGGTAATGTGGGCAAACATAATCCCGTGCTCAGCGTGATGCCTCAGGGAGACCGTTTCAGTGCTAGTTCAATTTCTGCTCGTATTATGAAACATAACACAGTTACGCAAATGGACTCATTTATTGTCTCTGAAGGATGAATCCTCACAGTGAATTCCTGTGGGAAGAAACACGAGCCATTATTATCATTTCCATACAAAATTTCAAAGGTTGTAATTCAACGTCCTACATTTTCAAATTTGTATTAACCCATTTTTCCAATTATTAATCCCATAACTGGTTAAGAATGTTTATTAAGTAAGCTTTAAGGGCTGCAAGTAATTATCATTTTCATTATCAATGAATACTTTTGCATTTTTGAACAATGATTTATTGGAATAGTTGATGATAAGTGTGCCAAGAAATGTTGAGCACATCTTTTGTAAACGACCATGATAAAACTATTCCTAAAAGGAATGTGGCTAAAGCTGCATTGGCACACACTATGATTCATTGGTATGCCACTGCTGTAGCTACCAGCTACTGTCATACTCACCTGGTGTTCTACACAGCATTATGCCACAATAATTCATCAATGATATGACACTGTTTTATCATGATAGGTACCAGCTTTCTGGTACAAAACATTAGGAAATACATGTATTTATGATTTATTACTGATATAGCCTTTGTTGAAATCTCAACCTGAGTTGTGGATGTTGACAGAGGGCATCCTCCTCAACCTTGTGATTTCCACATGCTAATACTTTCCGTCTGAGTGTACATGTGAGATTCATCAATTGAAGCAAACCTAGGCATGAATCTACTATGATGTAACTGTTGCACCACCAAGCATTTCACACTGCATATTGAAATGAAATGTATATTGACTGAAATCACATCACATGAAAAAGCGATTATACAGAAATATGACACAACTCTGGTCATGCTGTGGTGGACTTTATGAACCTTTTAAGTTAACACTCCAAACCGAGTATGAGGCAGTCACCATGAAAGTGCCTCCCAGCCGCATTCCCTCCTCCTGCCCAGTTTCCTCTCTGCTCACTGAATGAGTAACAGCAGCTGTCTAGCTTCTCTTGCTCACTAGTGGGCTGCACCTGGTGGGTTCCGTGTGTGGAGAACGTTATGCTGTTATGATCAGCCACAGCCGGTCTGTTGCAGTGCGGTGCCCCAAATTACCCACAATCAAAGTGCCATTGAACTGGACACAGTGCCACCGCAGTTCCAGTGGAAGAGCAGTACCATTAGCCCTGATCGCCAAATGGAAAAAAATTGTATTGGTGACGTGCCACCTTTTATGCCATCCGACTTTCACTTTTAGGATGCTGTCATCAAAGGGAGTGTGTTGGAAGTGTTGGAGCTGCTAGCCTGGGGGTTAAAGGTCTCTAAAGGTCAGACAGATTCTGGGGCTGTCACTCTGTAGGGCTCAAACGGGCCCCACGATTTATCTGTCTCTCCAGGAATTTATGATGCTGCTTGCAATTATCAAATGCAAAGAATACCTGCAATATTTTAAGAGCCAGCTATTTTAAATTTGCAAGTGTCAAAAGAATATAGAGACTTGTACTAATAGCGACACTTTCCTTCATGAAATCCACTTTCAAGCCTTTGTTACCAATTTTCTAAATAATGAAAACATCCTTGACCGCAGACAGAACGTTTTTATGAGAGTTTGTTACATATTTAGATTATCTAAACAATACCAGCTGGTCTAAAACATACAGAAAGTTATGATTAATGATCGGTATCGGTGTTCTGTAAACATTATTTTGTTTTTTCACGGCCCTCCATTGTCCTTCTCTCTAAATTAGTTGTCAGCCCTGTTGTAAAGCTGCAGTTAACTGTGACTACAATTGTACAGAATTAAGTTAGGTTGAGGTTTAGATTCAAAGTTGTTTCCTCTTTTACAGGATTTGATATAGCTCTTGACATGCCACCTATAATGAACAGAACAGGTTTTACCCTTTTACATTAATTCATTTAATCTGGAGGAGGCGTGAGGCGCAGTGGATAGAGCCTTGCTGTTTGGATCAGGGGAGCACAGGTTCAAACCCCACTGCAGTCAGCATGTCGTCGTGTCCCTGGGCAAGACACTTCACCCCAAATTGGGCACAGAACTACCGGTTTCTGGTAAATATATTAAAAGTAATGACAACGTACAGGGAAATTTATCTATAAGTAATTTTTCACATTTCGGGATCTCTAAACAGGGCTAGGCTGAGTGCGACTAAAGTTTCTAGCCTTAGTTCCTGGTTTTTAGCCCCCTAGCCTAAAAAAAAGAAGAGAAATAAAAAGAAGAAGAAAAAAAAAACGATTAAAAAAAATAAGTTACAATGTTTGTTTTTTACTTGTACAAGTTCCAGAATTTTAGTAGGAAACCGGAAAATCAAATAACCAAAGTTTAATGTGTTGTAGTACATACCATAGAGAGAGACAAGGAGGAGGAGGCACACAACAACACTGCTCTACTAATGTATTGTACTACAACACATTAAACTTTGGTTTTGTTCCCGTTTCTACGTAAAAATTTCTGCCAACTTGTACATAGTAAACAAAACGATTGTAACTATGTTTTTTATGTTTTTTTTTTCTTCTTCTTTTTTTCTCTTCTTTTTTTTAGCTAGGGGCTAAAAACGCCAAAAGAACTAACGGACACTGAGATAACTTTTAGTGTCACTAGCCTAGCCGCTGTTTCTGAGATCGAAATTGAAAATTAACTTTATAAGATAAATTTCCGCTTGCACCGGTAGTCATATATATATTACCAGAAACCGCGGTAGTCCTGGTGTAATAAATATGATAAGTTACAACAATAGTTACTTACTAATAGTGGTTTTTATGACCTGATCTCTTACAGAGTGTCTTTCTTGCTGTTAAGAAAGTTTATTTAAGCTACATTTGAAATTCCGAGACGTTAACTAGTCAGTAACGTTTACGGAAACTTCGTGAAAATTATTTTTTCCGGGATTTGCCTACCGTCCTTGCTGAGTTCTTGTACCAAAATTACTGTGTATCTTTCTGTGTCTCGTAATGGTGTGCACTCTCGGTGTCTGTCCTTATCAACCAAGTTGTAGTTCGCGTAGCACCACACCCGACACCACACACACACCACACACACACACGCACGACCACTACACACCACTACACACACACACACACACTAGTGGTTGTGTAGGTTAGTGTACAGCCTAAAAACGACGTTCAGTTTTTTCCGCTTAAATCAACGACTAAAAAGTACTACTAACCACAGAGGTTCTCTAATGTAATGTACAAATCCCTGCGAAAATAGTTTCGCTATGTATGGTATGAGTAATCCCGTACAGGCTAGTGGAAAAAAACGAGGGCTAGGACTAAGCCTAGTAAACTAAAACTGTTAAACGATATGCTAAAAAGGGCTAGGCCTAGAAATACGTTACGGTAATTCTCGTTTTTTTATCGTGAAGTTCACCAGGGAATTCAACTAAAAAAAATTAAATTTAACTATAAGATAGGTTGTACGCTATCATCGAAGAAGAAAGCTGTCGTCGTAACCTAGTCAAGCAACACGTTCGTAACGCTAGTTTGTTTTATTCAGAATAGTCATGAGCAATCGAATGACGATGTTAATCTGTGAACGCGGGACGGGTAGACACACGGGTACAAACTCTCTTTATTTCGTTGGTCCCAGATACTTTTGTTCGGGGGTTTCTTCGTTTGGTTATGTACTACAAAGACATTAACTTTGGCTTTTGATTTTCGGGTCCTACTGAAATTCTGACTTGTACCAGTAAAACAAAACATGTAACTTATGGTGTAAAAATTTTTCATAACGTTTTTTTTTTTTTAGTGGCCTAGGGGCTAAAAAAAAAGAGGGCTAAGCTAAGAACTTTTAGTGGACTAGCGCGAGGCTAGGGCTAGGCACTTAGCCTAGCCCTGTAGAGATTATGAGTTATGACACCCGTTAG